AAATGGAGAGCTGCAAATTGATGCATGTCGTATCTTCTCTTTATCTGACTGGTTTTTCTTTTCCAGAAGGAGGGCTGGAAAGTGCCCCAGATAAAGGGGTGATTCAGCTTGATTGCTACAGGCATAGAGGCGAGTGTGAAGAGACATGCCAGGGTGTTTACAACAATGTCTTAAGAAATGCCTGCCCTCATCTCCTTTTGACTCTTCCTTGTCTAAATTTAAATCACTCATCTGAGGACAAAAGCTTTGATCTCACTTTATTTCCTCTGCTCATCAAAACATTTCAAATTATGTTTCAGTCCTCATAATGATTTCCATTAGTACAGATGCTTATGTTTGGACTCATAGTTGTAGACTTTCCAGCCCCACAGTGAGTGTGTGTGTGTGTGTGTGTGTGAGTGTGTGTGTATGTGTGTGTGTGTATATAACAGAGAGAAGGTGGACAAGGTCGGTGAAAGGCAATCACATAGATTGGCCAATGATCATAAAGACTTGTAGCAAATGTATTTACTGTTGTTACACTGCAATAGGAAAATGAGATGCTATCCATATTTTACAGTTATTCTCTGGCTATAAAAAAGCTTTCATGAAGCCAGTATGCTCCAAAAAATTTACAAAGAGCCTCAGGTAAAATAAAGGAAAAAATGCTGGGCAATTTCATCATGAAGGGTCACATCCAGTTTGGTTATGTCTACTGCAGTCTTGCATACTGAACCTGCTGTCATGGGCTCAGGAACTCTGGCTCCCTGATGCACAGTGGCCAGGTCAGAAGAAAGAACCATGCAGTATCATCAGATGACAGGGATGGCTCTTTGGAAATGGTTTCATCTACCCCAATGCTCCTCTGTACTACTGTTACTTAGACCAGCTGTGTTCAGCTAGTCATGGTTCATAAGTTTATCCTAAAATGAAGAATTCATGCCTTAAATCAAGGACCCAAACTAAATTAGTGTTACAGGATTTTCAGGAAGTAATGTCTTCCATGTCTGCAATCCATAAAGAAACCCTGATGGAACCTTCTCTGTGAGCTTTGGTTCTACCCTCTACTCCAAAGAAGAGATGTTTCACAAACCCTGGATAGGTGGCATGGGCCATGCAGGATGTAACCTGCAGCTGATAGTCAACACTGTACCTGCTACATTGGATCCACTGTAAATGAGAAAGCTTACCTATGTCATTTGACTGCCCTAAACTACAACATCTTCATTGGAAAGTGCAGAGGTCAAATCTAACGTTCTCTCCTGCTCTCCGATGTTGCTGTTACAATTTCTGTGAATGTCACTTTGGGGCCACTTGAGAAACAGCAGCAGACTAACTCATCTTCAGCATCACTCACAGGGCAAAAATTTTGGAATTAATAAAATTCCAAACAAAATTGAGTTCTTCATCTACAAAACAGAAACAGACTCGCAGACATAATAAACAATCTTATGGTTACCAGGGAAAGGGGGTGGGAAGGGATAAATTTGGGAGTTTGAGATTTACAAATTTTAGCCATTATATATAAAAATAAATTCTAAAAAAAGTTTCCTCTGTATAGCACAGGGAACTACGTTCAGTATCTTGCAATCACCTTTAACGGAAAAAAAAATGTATGTATATGCATGACATTGTGCTGTATGCCAGAAATTGACACATTATAACTGACTGTGCTTCAATAAAAAAAATTTTTTAAATAACCCTTCCCCACAAAAAAATGAGTTCTATAAAAGAGAAGTGACAAAAAAACTGATAAAGTTCCTTGACTCACCTTATAGAAAGAGAGAGGTTTTGTCGGTATAGTAGCATTTTATAAATATCATCAACAGAGTAACTGGGAGGGTCAGACCTGATGGGATATAATAAAACATAATATTGATGAGCTCTTCTCTATCATATAATGCAAGATTATTAAATTACATTTTAATAGAATAGTATGTTTAACATCTAAATATTTGGTGGTATAGAACAGATTTCTATTTTTTGACTTGTAGCAAATATTACTATCAAACTCAGCATAGAACCTATTTCTAAAAAGACACTTTAAAACATCACAATTCCAGTGAGACTTCCCAAATTGCCATCATTATCAAGTGGAGGCAAAGGCACATTCACAGAATAATAGTCTACTGCAAAGGAAAACACAAACATACAGACATTAAGCATGACATATTTAAAATGACACAAAAGGATTAAAAATGAAAGCCTACTGAGATTATTAATTGGCTTTATGTAATTTAATAAGTTGATGCCTGCAGAATTAAAAAGCTAATTATTACTAGAGTCAATATACCATTTCTTGCTAAATGAGATTAAAAAAAGGGCCCACAGTTAAATCCAAGGTTTCCACTCCTCACACACAAACACCCTCCTCCTCCCTCACCAGTTCTGATTTTCCAGTAATAAATGACCTTTTACACTATACAAGAGGAGTGTCCAGCTGAAAAAAGGCATTTTAATCCCTACATGACATTTTTAGTATTTTTGGAAATAAATTGCTTGATTTTTCTCTCAATCATGTTTTTCAAACTTTCACTATAGTCTCTAGCTGCTCAATGGTGTTGCCAAGAGAAAGTTCTCAGAGGAGTTATTTCATCTTGAGTCTTCTAGGATGGAAAAGAAAGATACATGGTAGAAAATTATTAGAAAAAGCATTTCTAGGAGTCTTGAGCTATTACTAAAATACAGAACTCTGTTCTCTCTGACAGGAGAATGGCTGATAGCTTTGTCTTGAATGAGGGATATTCCTGTCAGATCCAAAGGAGGCAGGTGAGAAATTAAATTTATTTCAGATCAGAATAGATGGCCAGTTCCAGTTGAGACTTCAAGTTGTTTGGACATTTTTTCCAGCATCTCCTTTGGTTATATTATCCACTCTCTTATTTGTTAGAGCTTTCCCCCGCTGCAACACAGTGGCTTAATCTTGGCAGGTTATTAAGCAACCAAAAAGGACACAATCTCAAACTATTCTAACCAAATCCTCCACCTCTACAACAAAAACTTAATGATTACTAATTGCAATTAACCATTAATTCCCCATGAATTTCCCCCCTAACTTTCACCTTTTGGGAATCACTAGAAACTTCCCAAATACCATTTTAGATATTATATTAACTTCGTAGATTCCTATAGTTTTTTTTTTTAATGACCTCAATCAAGTTGTCTCACGTATTTGAAACGTTCTCATTGGATCCATGATTTTCTTGCTAAACAAAAGCTCTTCTCTCCACTCTTTGGAATTATGCAAACGAATAACACAATAGCATCAGAGAGCAGTTGTAAGAAGTTAGGAGAATGTTTAGGGAAATGTAAAAGAAAAACTTCACAGAAATGTCATGTTACCAAGAAAGGTCAAATTCCAACAGTACTAGGTCAGGGATAGGGGGAATACTTCTCAAATCTCTGAAATAACAACAAAAGGCCAATATATGAAGTGGCAGATGGAATGAAAGCCAATTCAAAGCCCACTCTGATTGCATCCTGCAGGCAGACCACCCAAAAGGACACAGCAAGAAAGTTAAATGCATTTTAAGGCATGCATTTCTCTGCTGCAAAACTAAACCTAACAGAGTAGCCCGACGGCACTGCCATTTCAGCGTGTTCTTTCTTTACAGCATGTGCCCAGTCCAACGCGTAAGCCCAGTTTTGTAGCAGTACCCCTTCATTCAACTGAGTTGAGTTTTAAATAGCAGGAAGTGTACCGAAATCTACGGTAGTAAAAATATTTAAATTAAGTGAAAAGCACATTCCAAAGGTACATACAAATGAATTGGAATTATTACAATTCTTAAATTATCCATAGAAACCCTGTTTTTTCCCTGTAATATCACAAAACACACCAGACTGGGTAGTTTATAAACCACATAAATTTATTTCTTACAGCTCTGGAGGCCAGACGGGAGTCTAAGTTTAGGGCGCCGGCGTGGTCAGGTGAGGGTCTTCTTCCGGGTTGCAGATTTCTGTACCCTCACACGGTGGAAGCGGTGAGAGAGTTCATTAGAGCCCCTTTTGTAAGGGTATTAATCCCATTCATGAGGGCTTTGTCCCCATTACCTAATCACCTCCTAATAGCATCACCTGTGGGCATTAGGTTTTCAACAGAGAAATTTTGGTGGGATGTAAATAATCAGACCATAGCAACCTCCTTTCATCTTCGTGATCATTTGCAGTAAGAGAGGTAGAGAACATGATGTATGGAAGATCGAACAGCTAGAGAAACCCCCAAGGGGGTGAGAAACCTCATCTATGGATGCAAGTTCACTGCCTGAGTGCTCACATGACACAGGACATGGGCGTTCAGGACAGCACGGGAACAGGCCTGCTGGCTGGCTTTGGGCTGTGGGCAGGTTATTTCATACCACTGAGCCCTGGTTTCCTTAGCTGTAAAACTGGAACATAACTTCACAAATCTATAGGGTGTTTAGCATAAAACAAAATGCTTTTAGCTAAATTTTATCTTGTAATAAAGGAATTAGGTGATACATAATCATGTTATTCTATAACAACGATTTTAACAAGATTATTGAATGCTGCCAGTTTTCACCTTGTCTAGTGTATTTTATGTTCTACTCAACAACCACCTGCGATTTCCTTATAACGGACTCCTGAACGTGTTGTACCCATGTCTCCCAGCAGAACAGGGATGTGCTCTCCTCCAGGACCAGAGCTAGAGGAACAGCATCTTCTAATAATGGCCATTTTTACCAAACAACCTATGAAGTGGGGAATTGGCCCTGTTTGGGATATTTCCCAACACTTTTCTATAGGTCATCAATAAAACAAAACAGAATGAGAACTATGTCATCTTTTTAGAACATGGCAAATCTGCTATCAGCAACCCTTATTATTATCATAACTACTACAAATTAACGATCAATGATGATTATTGATGATGTATTAGCTACAATGTATCTCTAATTTGACTAACAATCTCTACCTTTTTTAAACTTTCTCCCAAGTCTGTTAAAATCCAAGTGTAGGTGTTGTTGCTATCGAGGATTTTAAAAAGGCTTATACAACGCATTTGTTATCAATGCTTTATTGTTGAAAACAAAATCGAAATTCTCTGGCACATAAAACAATTATTTCTACAAAAGGAAAGCCTACAAATCTTGATAATTTATACAAATAACAGTTTCTCAAAAAATAAAATTTTAATTTAGTAAACTTGTCTTGTGCTCTATATTTTTAGCACTGTCTGCAATAATCCACCATAAATCCCTGAGCGGAGACATTTTTTGACCATGTTCTATCGACCCTCCAGCCCTCCCCCCAAGTTGGTCAGTTACTAAGCCCAGCCCTGTAGTGAAAGGTGTCAGGGACATTTAGTTATTAATGATCCATGCATTTTATGACACAGACCCAATTATTAATGCTACTTGGGAACTGGGTCAACATGAAGTGCCTCTACTGTGCAATCGGCGAACCTATTAAGAACCAAGTGTTTGAAAGGAAGAACAATAACAACAGAAAGACATAAAATGTTAAGACTAGGAAGTCATCATAGGTCAATAACTATTTAAATAAATAAAAATGTTAGACACTGAATTCATCTCTATATCCTTATATTAAATTCTTTTTTTTCCTTTTTTTTTTTGCAATCTGCCAATGCACTGGAGGATGAAAAATATATTTCAACCCACGCTTTTTGTTTGACCGTGGGTTTGTTGTTGTTAAATGTTAAATATTGTTCTGAAAACACAGTGATTTAGTTATAATTTAACTTTTGGCCCTTCAGTTAAATGCTTACTAAATAATATACATATTAGAAGGGCCTTCTTTTAATGCCATCAACAAATCTCTCTCACTATACTGCCCTTCTCATAAAAACACCAATGCCATAGGAACACTACTTTAAATTCTTTATCCCACTGTATTCAGATATGCAGCAAAACATATAAAATACAAGGAAAACATAACATGATGTATTTGCAAGTCCAGCTTCCCTTTAACAGGAGTGCTGACCATATATACATGGAGTGTGAAAGGACAGGAGAAAATGCTAATTTCAACTTGCAAAGAACTGGTTTAATGAATCAAGTTTTGTTATTTTGCTATGGAAGAATAATAAATAAATAAATATGTAGGGTATTGTCTAGCTACTTTCTCTAGGAAGAAGTTTGAGAGTAGACTGTTATTTCTACAAAGTTAATTTTTAGTAGCGAAGTTTGACGGCAAGTCAAGAAATGTTTCTCTCTACTTCAATTATAGTCGTTTACTTATGAAATGATCATTAAAGTGGTTACTGATAGTTAAGGAAATAAAATGCCAAATTTACTAGTGAAAAAATAGTTTTCAACTGTGAAGAGCACTTGGCAGGAGACTTAGAAACACGTGGGTTAATGCTCCAGTCAATTGCAGCTTAAAAGAAGTCATTTTTTAAATGTTTTTTGGGGAGAACAAAATATGGTAAAAATAATTCCCTAAAAACTTATCAGCACTGCTGTTTAGGTACCTTTAAGAAAGTGATTAGTATTTCATACCAACTCTTCTCAAACTATAAAATCATTGGCAACCACTCCTTTGCACAGACTTGATTTTTAAACCTGCAACATCTTGGGAGTCACAAAGCATCTTCCCTTTTGTCTAACAGCTGCTCGTCAGTTATGGGAACCGGAACACTTTTTAAGCTTCTCTTTGATTTACTCCTTATATAAGTGTGAGCATTAACCAGGAATAGCCATTTTAAAAGGCAATATCAAAAGCCTAAGAATGAATACAATGAATTTTTCTAGGCAGTTCTGGGCAGAAGGCGGGGCAGGAAGGGTTGGGGACATTAAAGTAAAGAAACGCCTGCCTGGCACGACTACAGCCTCCCCAGCCTCTCCCACAAGACCAGTGAGAAGTATGGTTCGCTTTCTTCTGCAGATCCTTCTCAGAACACGAAAAGCCAAGGATGCCCAAATGACAGTGACATGTAAATCATAAACGTTACGTGCACTAGTCGGGAAACAACTAGATTCCGACAGATCCTAACACGGTATTTAGGAAAAAAAAAAAAGTCTTCTACATTTTAGAAATCGACAAGCAGGCTGCCCCAAAGAGGGAAGACAGCAGCGCCAGGACGACGAGCCAGCTCACCAGGATTCACACGCACTACACTTGAATCACGCCCTGTGAACACTTGACCTTAATGGTTTACCATGGCTGAACAGACACTCTGACTTCCTCTCACAGTGTTTAAGGAACAATTTCTCAATTAGCTTTCAAAGATGAACAAAATTTGAAACTTCGACCCCCCCACCCCCCCTTTAAGAATGCCAAGAGATCCTGTGTTAAGTGCTCTGGTTCACAGTTCTACGGGTAATAGACGCATCCTTCAGCAGGTTTCCCACGTTCCCCTTTTTTGGTGTTAACGGCTGTGCCAACAGCGAAGTGGATGCTTCCAGGGGCGGCAGTGATCTCAGTGACCTCTCCCTGGGTCTTGACGTCCAAACTAGCTCTTGTCATAGCACGGCTGGGAAGCTCTGTTCGTTATTGAAGGCAGTTTTAAAATAGGGAGGAGGACGAGGTACCGTCCTCCTGTGTCAGGTCTTGGAAGTCTTTAAGCCTTGCTTTTCCATGATGTTCCAGAGTTTGCGGAGGTTGGATTGCGTGATGACGTCGTCCGGCTTGAGCTGCAGCGCCCGCAGGTAGTTGGCCTCAGCCTTCTGGAGCCGGCCGTTGAGGTGCAGGATGGCTCCCAGGTTCATCAGAGCGGCCGGATACTGGAACCAGAGAGAGGAAGGAGAACGATTAAGAGGCCGTTGCAAGCATTCCTTCGTGGAAGACAAAAATCTTCATCCACTTATGCAAAGGATTCCCTCATGCCTGGGGGTATTTTATGGAAGCAATTTGCAATTTATACAAATAGACAAAGATAATCAGGAAGGAAAAGAAGTTTTCAAACAGCAGCTGTGTACTCTACGCTTTAAAGAAGGCAGGCAGCTAAAGAATTTTTTACTTCTTTAATCAGAGAGCATAGGTTACATATGAAGACCTAGTAACTTAGTCAAACAGCACTTTCTTGAGAAAATAGTTAAAAGGGATACAATTGCAGATAGAAAGAACTGAACATTTTTTCAACTCAACACCAAGAAATCAAAAATTAAGTGGGAAAAGTTGACAGATCTAGGTCTATCCATCCTTTGCTTTCTCTCCTTAGCAATATTCCAGGTCAATCACGGTAGTATAAAGAAAGAAATAAAACATACTGTAAAATTGTGCTGGTGTTTTCAAGAGTAAAAACTCTGAAAAAAAAATTCAAATACAATCACTAAAGTCCTTTCCAAATCTAACCCAAGTAGTTTTATGAGACAGTCTTTATTTTTAAGTCAAACAGCTTTTAAATTTCTAATGGTCAATGTTAACAATAAATACAGCAAGGTAAAAACACATCAAAATGGATAAAATATGGTACAGAAAAATGTAATCCTTATAAGAAAAGTTTTATATTATTTGTTTAAAATTAGTTAAGTGATTCTCAAAGATAGAATTTTCTGTGTTGTGTGACAATTGCAATACAAAGTTATCATGTGAAAAGCAAAGTTAAAAGTATGAGTTACTTGGAACTAGTTTAATGCAAGGGTTTCCACCCTCTAGTTCTCAAACATTAGTTAATACCAACGGGCCCTTCCAAAAGGAAAAAACACGTTGTATGTTATCTATGAATATGGGCTGTTCTGTTCTTGTCTTGTCCCTGGAACTTTCTGGCTAACAAAGAGTAGCTAATATTTTGGCAGTTACATAAATGCATATTTCAAACATCAGATAAAACTAAAATTGTTTATGCTAAGATTAGGTTTTCCTTCTACAGATGGTGTCAGCTATTAATTCTTCTGGCAACGCTATGATACAGGCGAAAATAATTCACAATTATTTGTACGATTTAGTGTTTTTACAATGCAAGCATTTTTCAGCTGAATTCATGTGACTCCACTCTTTACTGTAAAAACAATTATTTCTGAACCAAAAACAATGCTGGGGGAGGGCTAAAGAGCTCACAGTAAATCAACTGGGAAGAGATGATTAAATTTAGATTTTAAGAGATCTGGATTTGAGTTTTTCGTCAACTGCTGGCTGTGACCCTGGTGAGATCCCCTAACATATCTGTGCCCCAATTTCTTCATTTATGAAATACTGAAATAACATCAACTTTTTTGTGTGTTGTTAGAAAGATAAAAGGAGAAAATAAATGGAGCTTAGTACGTGCACATAGTAAACACTCCACAAATGTCAAGTTCACTTTTTCTTGTCTCATTTGCTTTGCACATGCATGTTTGTGATTTTTAAAGTTGTTATACATACTTTATAACTTTATTTCAATAGCTACATGTCTCTGGATGGACATCAAAGTTCTCTTAAGTCCTCAACTGCTGAGCATTATCTTCCAACTTTTTCTACATCTTCTTCTCTTTTCCAAAAATAATGTTGCAAATACAAGCTATTCCTGACCTTCAAAAACCTTTTGGTCAGGATGACTCCATACTTATCAAGAAAAATACAGATGGTCAATTTCTAATTTTAAATACCAATCCAAATAAACATAGCTCTAAAATTACATGTGCAGTAAATAGCTCCACGTTGGAAACCTAAAATAACACCACCAACTCTGTCTTCCTCAAAGGACTTTGTTATCCTACCACCCATTATTATCCTGAGTTTCTTGGTGCCAGGCCAGGACAGACTTTTGAACTATATCCCCTCCCAGAGCTTAGCACAAGGGTCAATAAACAGCTACTAAACTGATGGTGAAGTGTGTTCACAGCCTGACTTACTAGAGATGCTAAGTAGATGAAATGTTCAGACTTCCTGCCATCCTGAGTGGGAAGAGAGGAAATGGGGAGGCAGAACCACAGTTGGACACCATTCCTTACTAACCAGAAATAGAAGAGGCCCAGGGATGGGGCTGAGAGAAACCAGATGGCTCCGTGGGGTAGTGGTTATATTTTGGATCACTTTATCATCAGTGTCTGCACCTAACTATAACTGCGACTCGAGGGGATTATTAAAAACACTCAGAGTTTACAGAGTTGCACTAACTAGGTTGCAATGCTAGCTCTGCTCCAGAGACGTGGGCACTTGGACGAGTGCTCTCTGAGCACTGAGACCTCCATTTCTTGTGCAAATGGGATGGTAATGGTACTTTCTTCATAGGGTTGCTGATGAGATTTTATGAGGATACACAATTTATTGTCTTTTCCCTCTTCTGCCTCCTCATCATCTCAAACAAACAAAGCAGAATCTTCATGTCGATGTGCCTAAATGACCACTGAGTCCAAACACGGAGGATTTGTGAACTGGCTCTGCCTTTACTAGGTTTGTGGCCTTTCTTAGATTAAACTTGGAAAAGACAACTGTGAAAACAGGAAGTATATATCCCGCCACATAAAAAGACTTTATTCTTGTTATGAAATTGCAGCCTGGGGTCCTATTATCCTTAGAATACTTCAAAGTCAACTCTCTACTAACAAATGATGGAAAAAAAGTTAATATTATGCTAAGAAAACACAATTAGAAAGTTCAATCTGTTATCAAAATAAGTTCTGAGAGCTAATTATAATGGTGTTTTTGGAATAACTTTAATTTTGCATAATCCATGCTAGTGTATTACTGAGACAAAAATAATCACAAATTGACATCATGAAGTTAATGTGGGATAGCTGATCTCATAGAAGCTCACATACACTCATTAACTGTGTTCCCTAAAGAGTAAGAGCCGAAGTACACTAAGAATGTGCATATTTAAGAAATCATTCACTATTTTTAAGCAGCTATGGATTTCTATGTTCAGATGAAACATTTTGGTTTGAATGTGTCTATTTTAATAGAGTTAAAAAGTTTTTTTTTAGTTTTAAAGATCTATGAACATACATTATGTAATACTTAAAACATCACTATAGCTTTGCATTTGAGTGAATAGAAACTGATGAAATTTACATACTGATGTGCTCAAACGTGAGTAAGTGGGGTATCAATGCCTTAGGTAACAACAGTTATTTTGACATAACAATTTCAAGTGTTTGATTTATGAGTGAAACTGGAGATAGACTATTTTTTTCTTACATGATTGTTTTCTCTCTTCAAAGACAAGGGCTTTATTGTTAAAGTCTGCCAAGTCTCGTCTCCACAGCAGTGGCTAGGGTAGCTTAGTGGATGCCCAGTGGACTGAATGTCTTCAGGTCTCCTAGCCTTGCTACAAAAATTGCAAGGAGTAGCATTAGAATTACCTGGGAGCCTGAAAGAAATGCAGAATTTCAAGTGCCACTTACTGAATTAAAATCTGAATTTTAACAAGATCCCCCAGTGTTACGTGTGCACGTTAAAACTTGAGAAGCACTATTATAGAGGTCATTTCCAGATTCTGGATTATGTCATTTTACAGTTTTTGAGATGAACTTTTCTAGAGGATGAGGAAGCTCCTATAGAACAAAGTATATCAAATCAAACGTCAATCCTTCCCTGAAGTAGAATTTTTCTCTTGGCTGTGCAATTATTTAAGGTAGTAAATGTTCAAATGAAACTATATTAACAGAAGCTGTAAATGACGAAATATTGTTAGACAGAAGGAGAGGGAATAAAAAGCCTTTCCATCACCAAATAAGAGCTTGTAAAAGTTTCTAAACAGACTTGAAGACTACCTAGCTATGTAACTGAAATGTGAGAAACCCAGGTGACGGGCTGGCTGAGTACATATCAGTGTCACTGCTCTCTGCCAGCTGTGACTCCCGGGCTGGGGAACAGGAACCCAACCACAAATGCTGCTGTCTTCCCTCACACAAATCTGCTCTTATGAAAGACAGCCGATGAAATTCTCAGCATGTTAACAAAGGCAAGTCAAGCAGCTTGCAATGCAGTAACATGGGGCTTGTGGCTCCACACAGCAAATGACCCTGCCTCTTACTTCACAGACTAGAAAGGAGAACCAGACCTTTCTGGTTTCCTTGAAGAGGGCAGATACTTTACATCAAAGGGGTTGTCTAGCCATCATACTGAGGCAACAAATGATGTCTTTTCCAAGTCTCTAGGGAATTAAGCCTTTTTTATTTTTATTCACTTATTTATTTTGCTAGTTTACTGTGGTCTCTGGCTTACTTCTCCAACACTGGAAAAAACAAGCAAAATTAAAAATAATAGATGTATACTGGGGTGGGATGGAGCAAAGGGCAAGATTGTGAAGGTTTGATGCTAGTCTAATGCCCTAAAGGTTCCCAAGGAAGCCAGCTGAACTCACAGGTATCCTGACCACAGAGGACTGGAAGGCAAAGAAATTTTCATGCTCTCTGCCTATTATGCAGTCTTGGAAAGATACCTATGGAAGAGGAAGAGTGAGACAGTAAGGGGATTTAGGGTTGGGAATTCATGTTTCCACTGGAAATAGGACTAAAATATAGAACATTGAAGAGAGGACTTGGGTGAGGCCCAGAAAGAGGAAAGGAAGGACTTGGTGGAAATGTTCTGGAATTGTAAACCCACACAGGAACTGGCCTCTCTGCATCCTATTAGTCCTTGTTACCACTTCCCTTTTATGAAAATAAATCAACAGGCAAGAGAAGCTATGAAAAAGAGGAAGACAGATAACAGACCAAGAGTTCTGGTTTTATAAATATATCTACTTTCACTCAAAGTGTTGCTGAAATTATCCATATAGTTGTATCTTTACTGCTGTATGAACTAAATAACTTAAGATAGAATGTCAGAAGTTAGCCTTACCCAGTTATTACTCAGT